TTAGGGTTTAGGGTTTGGGGATAATGAAGGTGGGGATTCTCTAGAACGCTTGGAATCAGCATCGCGCTGGTCATGCCGATCAAGACTCGAGCAACGAACGCGGAAACCCAAGACCTCGCTGAGTGGGTGGCGCAAGCGAGATGGATGTCGGAGGCACCTCAAAACCCCTTGCTAGGGTATCGGTGTTGGAGTGGATGAAGAGGCGCGCTGCACTTAATCGTAGGTTTCCGCTAGTGATAACCTCGTCGATGGATGCGGTGCGACTATAGTGAGAAACACCTCAAGGTACGACAAGTATGAATGCCTTCCGGCAGCACTGCAACTCTGCTCAATCGGGCGGACAAACTCAGGATTTGCAATATGTGTATGACTGCAAGTAACCAGTATGATATACCGCCTTGGGAGTGTTGGGTCCTGCACTTATGCGAGAGGCGCAGCATCATTATTCTGGAGGAATTGGCCTCATGGCGAACCCTATTACTCAAGGCAGTAGGCTGCACATTCAGTAACCTACACCCGAAACCCTAAAGGCAGGCTGAGGGATCAAACGAGAATTTTTAATACGGATCGACACAAAAAATGTCTGGGATCAAAAACAAATCAACATAGGGATCACAAACTCAAACCAGCAAAATAGCATGTCTCCCGGAAGGTACACTCAAATTTACCGACTTTTGGATCGAGACAACATCCAACGATCAACAGCAACGTAACATGGATAAACTTTGCTGTGTCCAACTAGCATCGCAGCACGGTGGAACGTTGACGCTTGAACCCTAAACCCCTAAACCCTTACAAACCCTAAACCCTTATAAACCCTAAACCTCTAAACCCTAAATGGTGCAGGCCCGACTTGGGAAAAGAAGGAGACACAGTGCCAGGGGGAGGGTGGTTGGGGTCGCAGTAGGGCCGGACGTGAGAGTATGAGTATTTCAGCAAAAGGTACTGCAATAGTAACAGCGAGGCCAGAAGAATGACGGTAATCTTATGTCAAAGACTAAGCGAAATCAAACCATAAATCGGGACAATAGTAGTAGTAACCATAACCAGCATGTAAATAATAGTAATCATCGGGATTGTCATCATCGTCAAACTCATTTTCATGATCATCATTCATCATCATTATGATCATAGCCACAGTCATAGCAACAGTAACCGTACCAATTGTAGCGATAATGAACATTTTTGTCGTTGTAGTAGAAAGTGTGATAAATATTATAGTACAGGTGACAGTACCAGTAACAGGAACTGCAAAATTAAGAGCAATAGAGCCACTCTAGCCAACATTGGGATCTTCAATTCAAACGACAAGTTGATTCTTGCTATATCTGCTTTATTTGGTCTTGATCCTGTTTGACTTTTTGTATGCCTACACTGCTGAGGAATCGAAGACAAATCAAACAGGGATCAAACACACATGTAATGTCTTGGATCAATCAAAAAACAAATCAAAATATCACATCCCCTGGAGAGCATACTCAAGATTACCAAGTTCCGGATCAAAACAGAATGAGCCGTTCTGAGCTATTGGCCGAATACTGTAATTTACAGCATTCCGAAAATGCGATTGTGTTGATCCTTGTTTGATTTTTCTTGATCCCAGTTTGTTTTTGATGCTATCCGACAAATGCAGCTGATATGTAGGGTCTCTGTGTGTGTGTATATACATGTCTGTATATGCACATATATACATGTACATGGACAAATATGTGTATATATATATATGTGTGTGTATGTGTATATATATATATACGCATACACACAGATATCAATCAGGTTTGTACATAAGCACCCACACGCACACATAGGCATGTTCAAAAACCATGAACCCCAATTCTTACCCATGTCTCAGGCAGTCCGGGCCTCGTCCTTGTTGGCATACCAGTTGCCAGCCTCCACGGAGTCTAGGGCTCGGGGTTTTGTGACGTCGCATTGTAGGGCTTCTAAGTTCAAGGTATACCGTAGGCTTTAGGGGATTAGAAGTTTAGGGGCTGCTGGGGAGTTCTAGGTTTTAGGGATTATGGGGTGTCGGTGTTTACGGTGTCTATATCGACCGTTATTGATGGTTAGAATGAGGTTTTGGTGCACGCTATACTGTGACTGTAACTGTAAATTAACAGGGAGTATAAGGAAATACTGAATATCGTTAACATGTGCTCAGACCCCTATAGCAGGGCGTTCTTTCCGATGTCATGGTTGCACAAGCTTTGCTGGGACCCAAACTCTTGCTACTGGGACTTGCATGTCAAGCCAAACCCTAAGCCCCAAACCCTGAACCTTTGGAGGTTATGTTTATGGGGTTTATAACTCCCCAGAAAAACATCGAAAGCTTGAACCTCAGTTGTTTAACATGGTCTCATGTGGCCTATGGAACCCTCACAAACTCTAGGGTTTCGCTACTCTACTACTATGAGCAGGCACGCAAGGTTCGTCTCAATTCAGGATACTTGTCAAGATTGAAGGAACCAACACAAAACCCTAAACCCTAAACCCAAAGCCTTAAACCCTAAACCTTAAACCTTAAACCTTAAACCCTAAACCTTAAACCCCGAACCCTAGACCGTCAACCCTTCATAAAATCCTTGAAGGTAGCCTGCACCATAACGCCAAACCCTAAACCCGAAAACCCCATAAGCCCCCAACAGCCACTCAACTCCGCTGAAAACCCTAAACCAAACCCTAAGCCGTGGTCCCGAAGGCAAAGGCTGAAGCTTCCCATCCTCCGACTTCTCGCAACACCCACTCCCTCTCCCTGCAAGAACTTAGGGTTTAGGGTTTAGGGCTTTAGCAATATAATCTCAGCGCTGAACCAACAAACCTCAAACCCTCCCAACACCGCCAAAGACCGAAGCTCGAAAACCCTTGGGCTCCAGCCCAGTAGATGTACTTCTCCTGCCGCGGCTGAAGACCTCGTGAATGCCAGGTTTGAGGGTTAAAGGGATCCCTTCGGAAACTAGAATGGCTTATGGGCCTCCATGTTAGCCCTTAAGGGGTTAAAGAAGGGGCTGAACCCTGCGATTAACGATTACGCCACAATTCTGAGCACTAGCAAAGGCCACGCTTCGCATTTGATCACGATCGATGCTCTGCTGTGCTACAGCTCCTGCCGAGTCGGATCACTGGCCGGGGCTGCTGCAACAGCAAATCTGCGAAGCATACTCCTCGGGTCGGCGGGTTCGGACCTGGTGCAAAGGCCGCGCATGCTCTCGCTGTGCAGCGCAAGAATCTGCGACTTGGACCCCCTAAAGGTCCACCTATGTGGCATGTACGCTTGTAGACTTGTAGAGGTAAAAAGGAACTTCCAGGGATTCCCATGTAATCAGCAACTTGAGGGCCCGGTTTTCTACGATGTATATGGCTTGGTTGAAAAGCTTCTCAGAGTTTTCCCTTGCTCACTCAGTGGCACCAGGAAATCCTCAAACTTCCCTAGGTGCTGGTACCTTCTGTAGGCATGGCATGAAACGTTTTGGGCAAACAACCTCACTGCAAGATCTCAGCAGAGGGTTTACAGCCCAGACTGTGAAGGTCATTCAAACGTGCATAGACGCTGATGAGGGTACGACGGTATAACGGATATCGTGCGTTGCTACAATGCTTTATAATTTATACAGATCGTGACGAGTCGTAAGAGGTCACAAGTCACGCAGACATGATGAAGACATCCAAAACCCTGAGCATCCGCGGTGAATTTTTCCGCGAAATTACCTGCCCATCTGCACCCGCAACCCTGCACTCCGTGCAAAGGCTGCTAAAACCCTTCCGGTGTCATTTGGGCTTCGCCCAAGCGACTCCTCCGCTCTGCGCCTGCGACCCTGCACTCCACGCCAGGATACACTAAGCTGCAATGCGGTGAATAGGACTTCGTCCTTCGACAAAAAGACTTTACACTTGCAAACAGTTTGCCCACATCACACCATAGCGATTGGAGTGAGAAAGCTCTAACTCTACAGACGCGCGACAGTCGTTGCCACAAGGAGTACCTTGTTGCGCGTCTACACCTTGGTTTCCTCAGCGGCATTGATCTCTGACGTCACCTGTTTCGGGCCATGGAACATGCCACCGTGCTCCGCCCAGTAGTAGCAAGGGCTAAGCAATGCCCAGAACATCACGTAGCCGGCGTGC